TGCCTTTGAGTTGTGGTGTTGGAGGAGAATACTGAAAGTGCCATGGACTGCCAAAAGAATCAATAGATCTGTTTTGGAAGAAGTGCAGCCAGAATGGTCCTTGGAGACCAGGATGGCTAAATTTTGTCCCTGATACTTTGGACATATTGTCAGGAGGGACCAGTCGCTGGAGAAGGATATCATGTTTGGTAAGATGGAAGGTCAGAGAAAAAGAAGAAGACACCCAACGAGATGGATTGGCCAAGTGACAGCATTAATGGACTCAAGTATGGCAGCGATAGTGAGGTTGGCCCAGGATCGGACATTGTTTCATTCTGCTGTGCATGGGGTCCCTATTAGTCAGTTCCGACTTGATGGCATCTGAGAACAACAATTTTGTTTAAATACTCTTCATATCTTTTATGGAAGAGCATTCCAGAGGACTTTACTTAAGTTGTTGTATATTGAAGGCCACAACTATTTGGAGAAGCTATATATTTCCCTCCAGTGCTACTTCTTGTTGTTGTCAGGTGCCATCAAGTCGGAACCGACTCATAGCGACCCCATGCACAGCAGAACGAAACAATGTCCGATCCTGGGCCAACCTCACTACCGCTGCCACACTTAGTAGCATCCATAGTGCTACTACCACTACCTAAATGTAGATCTCAATTCAAGCTAAAATTCTGACACTCCTTAATAGCAGAGTTCAATATGCTTTTGCTATACTTTAAAAATAATTTGCTAAATTTTAAATAAGAATGATCCCCTAATTTTTTTCACACTTACTAGAACTTGAATTGTAAGTTTCCTTTATTAGATCTACATATTGAATTTATATATTTAGCTAAGCATCATATGTTGTTGTTGTCAGGTGACACTGAGTTAGTACTGACTCATAGTGACCCTCTGTACAATACAATGAAACAGTGCCCAGTCCTGGACCAACCTCACAATCACTGCTACATTTAAGCCCTTACTGCTGCCACTGTGACAATCCATATATTTGAGGTCTTCCTCTTTTTCTCTGGCACTCTACTTTAATAAACATGATATCCTTCTCCAGCGACTGGACTCACCTTTTAATATGACTGAAGTACGAGGAAGTATGGCCAGCCTGGCTTCCAGTGAAAGGTGTGAACCAAATATGCATCATATAAGTTGTTATATAGCCTAAAAGTAGGATATATAAACTTTCTAAACATATATTTTTCTTCTAGTTAATGACCATTGTTTGAAATAATAAAAATAGTGGTGGATCATATAATATAAAAATGTGAAATTGCTTAGTATAATAAGTGACAACTTTTGCTATTCAAGAAAAGTCAGATAAATGCAAACTAAATATGTTTTGATACGTTGTTGTTGTTAAGTGCCATTAAGTAGGTTCTGACTCTTAGTGACTCTGTATGGGCCCTGTATAGGGGTTCCAAGGAGCAGCTCCTGGGTTTGAACTGTTGATCTTTCAGATAGCAGAGTACTGCTCATCCAACAGCACTACATGAGAACTTCTGATTTGATTTAGGACATTAGAAAGTAAGCCTTATATGTTTTTAAGGAAAATAGTAGTAAAATTGGAATCTTGGTGCGGTGCTATGGATGACTGGACTGCTAACCCCAAATCAGTGGCTCAAACCCACCAGCCACTCCTTAAAATCTCTATACAGTGTTGCTATAAGTTGGAACTGAGTCTATTACAATTAACAAACAAACAAAAAAAATAGTAAAATTGAACTATTAGGTAAAAGAATTAAATTCAATTTCTTTCTGTTATAATGTATATATAACTTACATTAACTGCTTCATCTTCAGTTAGACTTTCATCTATTGTAACATTGGGCAAGTCTGGCCAAACCTACAAAGAGAGATGAAATGTGAAAAGAGATAAAAGTAAATTCAGTATGATAGGACTGTGATTTTTATTTTTTATGACTGTGATGCTAATGAAGTATAAAAGTGTTTTTGAGACATATTATAGATATAATCCACATCACCAGTTCAATAATATCATTAACTTTTTTTTAGAGTGCTATTTGGTTTGTATATACTTCTCAAGCAAGTTTAATTTTACATCTGAGTATATTCTTTAATATGGCAATTAAAAAAAAAAATCTTTAACTTTTATAATAGCTCATAATTTTGAAAGCAATACATGTGACTAAAATGTCTAGGCAAGAATTAATATAAAAAGAATACAATAAATTAGTTTAATGTGGCATATTAAAATTGTTCTCATAATTGTTCCAGATAAAATATTAAAATAAACAAATAGTTTTCTTTGAAAGCAGTTAAAGATCTAATTAGGGTGATAATATGTTGAGGCATTTTTTCCCCTTCATTTTTTAATTAGTACTAACTTCCTCCCTCCTTATCCAATGTTTTCTTCTAGCCCAATCATAAACACACAAACAAATAGAGCACAAATTCAGTTATTCTGAAATTTATGGAAATTTGAATCTATGATGTAGAAGTTTAAAATTCCCAAATTAAAATGTAAATTATCCCTAAAAGATTTACTAGTTATAAGGGGTTATAACTTGACAAGGACCACTGTTCCAAGGTAATGAACACAGTTTAAATTTGAGAAAGTGTATTGTAATGTGAGATGAGGGGGTAATTAGAAGATAAAAAAATCACTTGTGACCTATATATCATAATCTTTAGTTGTAATTTTCTTTAAATGTTAAAATGTCGCAATAATTTCTACATAGCATTTCTTTTATTTTATTTAAATTGTACTTTGAAACATATTTTGACTAAGAAAATCTTTAAAAATTGTACTAAGGGTTTTTGTATACCCTTCAGTTTCCCCTAATGTTGACATCTCACACACAGTACAAATATCAAAATGAAGAAATTTACAGTCATACATTGTTATTAATTAATGTACATGTCATATTTTATTTTCACAAACTTTACCACTAATGTTCTATTTTTATCAGAGATCCATCAAGGAGCCCACATTGTAGCCAAAAATTTTTCTCTTACAGGATTTTTAAGAATTCTGTTTATGACCATTAATATTTGTTCTTAATTGCTTTATATAAAAGCAAAATTAGGATTTTTTTTTTTTAGTATACTTATATATCTACATCTCAATACTATTACTTATATGAAATGTATCAAATTACAGTTCTTGTTCAAGTCAGGAACATCTAATATGAAAAACATTTCTGATTTTATTAATAGAATGATTTTAAGAGAAATACAAACACTTGAATTTTTCTTCTAGTAAAGAAAAAATATGTAGCTATCTTTAAAATGGTGGCTTTATAACAAAATATAAAAATGTTATTAATAAGTACAATAAAAGACCATCTAAAGATAAAACAGAAAGTTTCTGTGTATATAATTTGTTTTCTTTATTCATTTCTAATAATTTAGAATGAACTCAAGGAACGTATGCTATTTTATGAACTAGTAACTCATTACCTTTTCTACATCTCTATTTCTCTATGAATGCAATTTTCTAATATTTTAATTAAATAGAAACATTTTGTATTTATTTTATCATGAAATAGTCAAGGCATGAAATTTGTACCTTTGCCCAACAAATATCATTGGTGTTAGGCCATTTGACAAAGACATCTTTCTCATTTCCTCTGTCAAATGCAGGATAAGGCTTTGTTTCATTTCCAGAAATTGCTGGATCCTAAAATTTAAATGAAAAGGAACTTATGTGAATATGAAATCAAAGTGTAGCTGCTAGAGTAACCATCATGAAACATCATAATTTTTCATTATTAAGTTTTATAATATTATACTCTCACAGACTGACAAATTGAAGGAAAATTGATATTTTAGTTAGATATTTTCCTGTTTCTTATAGAAGGATTTATGAAATCCATCAACTATGATTTCAAACAAGGTTACAAAGGTTGTTAGCTATGATTTGCCTTTTTTCTACTGTAAGGTTTCTTCCTGCCTAACTTCCTACAAGTTAGCAATAACATATTTTTTTCATTGAATCACTAACTTGAGGCTATTTTTTAAATATGATAAACATAAGAAGAAAACTCAGAGACTGATTTGAGAATTATATAGAATAGAAAATTCACCAATACTTTGTGAAGGCACCTATAAATTGAGGCCAGTTTTCATGCAGCTTCAATGATTACTAGAGAAATGATAGCCTTTGATTTACTATATTTTTTCTTATATTTCCAAAGTTTTATCTAGAGTATTAAGATAGTACGTGGAAGCCCACACAAAAATAATGTGTTAAAGGGGAAAAAAAAAAAAAGATTTAGGAGTTGGATACAGCATTATATACTTAATTTTTTTAAATGCTATTTTTTTCTCCAATCCAAGGGTAGAAATCTTAATAATACTAAAATAATAAGAATTATAAAACCCAAATACTGACCAGAATAATAATGTATCTCATTCCTTCTCCCCTTATTTTGTCAACAAACTGAGGAAGGTCACGGAAATTATCATCAATTGTGAAGTCTAGTTGCCTTTCCATATAATCAATGTCTGTGTATTGAACATCCTGAAATAAATGAGAATCACACTCTATTGTACTTATGAAAGTAATAGTAATACGAAAATATCAATGTTGCTTCATTTGAACCTAAAAAGTTAATCAAATAACTCAGTGTTCAAGGAATAAAAGTAGCATATAAGATGTAAAACATTCCAAGGAGTTCATATAAAAATACTCTGTTCTGCCAACATTTCATTTTGTAATTTTTTTTTAGAAGTAATAATTCTCTGAAATCAGCATGCTTTGTTATGTAATTTCAAAAGGAATCAGGAAGACACAGGAGCAAAACTATTTATGAATTTATGAAAAAGGTTCTCAGAAAAAGGTGATGCTATATTTCTGGGAACAATAAAGCAAATATGGGATAATTGCAGATTTTTTACTGATGTTAATAAAAGGGGAAAAATAGTTATGAGTAAATTCTTGGACTGTCAGATAATCTTTGCATCACTTACCAAAGTTATATTTGGACTTTGGTAAAATTCCCAACACGATTTTGTTATACCGGTATTTAAAATATAGTTAAATTAATATGCTTGAGTTTTATCTTGAAATCTTCAACTTGTTGTTGTTGTTGTTGTTGTTGTTGT